TCGGATCTGTGGATTGGGGAGCATAATGGATCGGACTCTGATCCATTATGCTCAATCCGCAGATCCGATCCATCCTGTGGGGATCATCGGCTTGCAACCTATACGGGGTTAACTGACCTCTCCACGAGCTCCACAAAAAGCTACGTTTTAAAGCAAGCCAACGATCCCCACAGGATGGATCGGATCTGTGGGATCGGATCTGTGGATTGGGGAGCATAATGGATCGGACTCCGATCCATTATGCTCAATACACAGATCCGATCCATCCTGCGGGGATCGTCAGCTTGCTTTAAAACGTACCTTTTTGTGGAGCGGTTCCGGTGTCACCCTATGCGATAGGTGTCACCCGGTGTGGCGCGCACCCTCTGCACCTGCCTAGGGATGCCACTGCACCTCCCTGCTACCAGCACTTGTACTGTATACAGCCACGCTTAACTGACTTCTAGGGTCTCTGTTCTAAGGAATGTATAGTGGGTTTGTACTTGATTTCTTTATTTACTATGCCTGCAAGTAAAAAAAAAAAAAGGGTAAAAAGCAAGTTTGAAGTAAAAAGCTTTTGTGTAAAAATCTCAATAACATAAACTGAAAGTTCAAAACACAAGTAAATGACTCTCTGCAGCAGGGGTGTCAAACTGGCGGCCCTATAGCTGTTGCAAAACTACAAGTCCCATCATGCCTCTGCCTTTGGGAGTCATGCTTCTAACTTGTAATTTTGCAATACCTCATGGGACTTGTAATTTGGCAACAGCTGGAGGGCCGCCAGTTTGACCCCCGTGCTCTACAGTGTCTCCTGCCCTATCAGACAGCTCAGTATGAAGTTTCAGTAAAAAAAAAACTGGGCCTCCTGTATTGCAGTCTGTCGAGTTAACCCATAGTGATCTGAGAATCCTTTGTCATGTATGAAATGTTTGTTTGTTGTGTTTATAATTTAAAAAAAAAACACATAAAACGTATGAACTTCTACTTGTCTGTAGAGCTAGAAGGTGCATCTTGCAGTGCCCATGTCGTTCCCTGGTAATGTGGGCACTACCCATTGGCTGCTAGAAGACTCTATCGGTGGGATCCTCAAGGTTAACGACATCATGATGCAAGGGGCAGCAACAAGACTGGTTGGTGGCTCGGTGTGCAGTGGTCACCGTTCTCCACTCCTAGAAGAGGAGCTGCAAATGGTAATGTAAAAGCAGATTCAGGTAAGGTTTGTTGTGTTTATGTTGTGGATGAGGCAGAAAAAGAAAATGTTGCCTAGTTTTATAGTCCAATGTAAACCAGCTAAATAAATTCCATGTGCATCGAAACAACAGGTGCCTTCCAGTTGGTTATCATTATAAAGCCGCCACAGTCTCAGTAAAAAAGCCTGTCCCCTTTCACTATGCAGTGTGGAAGCAGTGGTCTCTCTGCAGAGGTCCACACAACCCCCTGCTGAGTCAGAGCTAGAACTCTTCAACCAGCTTAAAGCATGAGCTCTACTTATTACATATATATATTGTGTATCACCCTCCTAGTTCTAGTTTAGCTAGGGGGAGCTAGACCCTGATGGCTAGTGAGGAGCTGATTAGCAGCTTAGGTGAAATAGTCAGAGGGGTCAAATTTTGGTCAGGACTGAGAGACTCTGCAGGTCAGCCCCTCTGGAATTTCCCCCTGCTCTGAGGCTTTCGGAGGAGGGCCTTGAAGGCAGTGGGTGGATCTGCCTTTTGAGGAACCTTAGCCAATCCCCAACAGAAGGCTTGACAAGGGACTAGACTCCCTTAAAAGTGTTGAAGCCTGTTCAGTAGCAGGAGTGTGGTGGTGGAAGAGGTGTGAGAAGCAGGAAAATGTGAGGCTGGAGGAGGAAGGCTGCCAGGAGATTTAGTGGGATGGGGTCTGCCTGCGAGCCTGGATCTGGAAAGGAGGAAAACTCAGGACTCACTGGCCCCCGAGAGAGGACCACCTGTATGGCAGGAAAGGAGCAGCCCAACTGATAGGCCTGGTAGCAGCAGCCATTCCACAAGTGGTACAGGAAAGGATCTGAGTACACCTACACCCTCTTGGCGGATAGGGGAAGGAGCACTCTGGTGGGAAACCAGATTAGCCCTCTGCTAGTGACTGTTCACCCCATTTAAAGGGACAGTAGCCAGATCCCCTGGTCAGGAAGAAAGTCTCCAGATTGCTGGGTGAAGAGGATCTCATCTATGGTCAGGGCTGGTACAGCTAGAAGCTGCTGGCTATCACCCAACCTGTGTCAGAGAAGAGACGCTATGAATAGTTCAGGAAGTTTGTCTCCAGATTTCAGTTCCCTTGGGCATTCTATACCCCCCCATTCTTACCCTATCCAAGTTCGTATCCCTTCAATAAACTAACAAAACCAATGCTTAAGGCCTAATATCTGTCTGTGGATGAAAACTGTGTGGAAAATGCTAACTGACCAGCTGTGCGGGGCTATACGGGGACCCAAGTTCATGAACAACCCCTAAGGGGGTAGTGCTACATATATACACACCTGCCAAGTGACAGAGGATGGGCACCTGGTGAGGCACTGCGTGAGCTCTGCCATGGGGTCCAAGACAGGCTGCGGGCTGCTGGAGGGTGCAGGTAGAGGCCGATTCTGGTTCCCACACAAGAACAACACTGGGCTTTCCTGACCGTGTCTCCGGGGATGGCCGGCTGCTTTCATTCTGGAGATGAGTGCTGGAAGAAGGTCTCCCTCTCCTCTAGATTGTGTGTGTGGGGGGGACACCTGATTTTCGTGTTGCCTGGGGCAGCACAAAAACAAAATACACCATTGTAATTATACAGTACACATATACTGTATATGACTTAAAGCCTAAGTGCAGCCAAAATGTAAAAAACCATCAGAGCAAGGACATAACTTACAGTCCGCAGGGTGTGTCCCTTGTGCTGATGCCTCTTCTGTTCGATGAAATCCTCCTCCATCCATGCCATCCATGCCATCCATGCCCGCTCACCCCTGTCACTGTAATCTTCCAGTGCAGTTGGGGTTAACAGAGCTAAGGGCTGTCACCATCAGGAGTGCCCAGCTTTACCCGCCCTTTACTTCATAGAAGCCGTACTACAAGGGAAGACAGACAGATGATGAAACATCTGCCCCCTCCATTCATAGATCACATTTCATCAGTGTGTGGTCGTCCCTTCTCAACAGAAGCAGGCTGACTGAACAGAAAAAAAAAAAAACTATCTATGGCAGGGATGGGCAACTGCGGCTCTCCAGCTGTTGCAGAACTACAAATCCCATCATGCCTCTAGAAGTCATACTTGTACCTGTCAGTTTTGCAATTCTTCATCAGCTGGAGGGATGCCCACCCTTAGCCCTCCTGCACACGGGACGTTTTTACAGCGGCTGTTTTTGGCTTTTAATGTTTTTTTTTCCTACAGGCAGTAAACCCCCCAGCATGTTATCCTATATGTCCATGGCCACATAGACTGGAATCAACATTTTTTGTCAGGGACGTTTTGTGGCTGGAATAAAAAAAAAAAACAGGACTAGTGGGTTTCTAGAGGAGTTTTTTTAGCTATAAAAACGCTCTATTGCAGAAAAACGCTGAAAAACAAAGAAAAATGTGACAAAACGCCAAACCGGCGTTTTTGGACTTTTTTTGGCCCAAAAAAAGTTTGTTTTTGGTAAAAAAAAAATTGCTAAAAAAAACACAAACGTGGAAAAACACAGGAAAACACAGCTAAATGCTAATGCAAAAATGTTATAAAACACAAATGTGGAAAAACACGTGAAAACACCGCTAAATGCTAATGCAAAAATGTTAAAAAACACAAATGTGGAAAAACACGGGAAAACACCGCTAAATACTAATGCAAAAATGTTAAAAAACACAAATGTGGAAAACACGGGAAAACTCTGCTAAACGCTAATGCAAAAAACAAAAAAAAAAAGCTGAAAAACCCACATTTAACGTGACTTTACACAGCAGCCACGTTACCAGCACAGGGGAACACTGACTATTTGGGCGCTCCGGCATTGCCCGAGGGCTCAGGGTCAGTAGGGGGCCCCATTAGATGCCCCTGGTACATTTCATAGGCTTTTTTGGGTGTGGTTTCAGTGTGGACAAGGACACAGGGGCCCCCTATTGCCCGGGGGCCCCATGAGTTGTCAGTCCGTCCCTGTACCAGCGTTATCAAAACATCCAGTGTGCATGAGGGCTAATTCTATGGCCAGCTTTAGCGGGGAACGTGGCAGACCTCTGCAGTGTGACCACTGCTTCCATAGGTCCTTCTCCGCAGCTGTTGACAGGGGACAGGCTTTTCTATTCAAGCTGTGGCTGCTTGCATGCTAATGAAAATCAACTGCAAGACTTTGCATACCTTTAGTTTGGATGTACCTGGAATGATTTCAAACTGATAAAATCAGTTGTACCTCAAGTAAAATTGACACAAATCCATTACAGTATCCCTTTCAGTTGTGTATTTATTACAACGACTGGTGTCCTTTTAAAATGCAATTTAATATGGTGCAAATAAATACTAAAATAATATTTAAAAATAAATACAGTTTACAGAAACATGCTTTGTAGTTACACCATGGGCTGCCTGCCAGCGTAATCCTTTGTAAAACCACATATGATACTCCGCGAGCTGCAGCAACTGTACCTGCGATGACAACCTGTCTATTTTAACATATAATTACAGCCGGGCCCGCGTGAAGAGAATGCCACAATCGCCTGTTGATGTCGCAATCAGGTGACAATTGTTCATCACTTTCTTCGAATTCTATTTTTAGAGAGGGGATAATTAAATAGGTTGACTCACCGCTGCACCGACTACTCTGCCTGTTAGTAATCATTTTCCCTTGTTGGTGTTTTTTAGGTTATGAGAAAAAAAAAAAAAGATTGAATTGCATTTCCTGTGTGACAGATACAGTACCTGTATGCGATGAATCACAATTTGTTCAGCGCAAATATTTAACATTCACAGTATAAATAAGAGCCTATTCTTCTTGCTGTGCAGGGATTATGCTATATATTTCTTGGAATTAATTCACGATTTTTATAAAAGGATGGTTGTAGTTTGTATGCAGTAACTGGAAGATATATACTAAATGTGTGTTAAATGTAGTAAAAGAATAGAATGAAGGGTCCCAACCAGGGGCGGACTGACCATTTGGAAACTCGGGCACTGCCCGAGGGCCCGGGGTCAGTAGGGGGCCCCATGAGATGCCCCTGGTACCTTTTTCATAGGCTTTTTTTGAGTTTGGGCAAGGGCACAGGGGCCCCATGATCCCCTATTGCCCGGGGGCCCCATGAGTTGTCAGTCCGCCCCTGGTCCCAACCTTAACATTTGAAAATTAGGGACACCCTGTAGGAACTATGGAGTGGAAACAGAAACAAAACCTCCTGCGCACAGAGACCCAGATCAGAAATCAGCAGGCTGAACCATAAAAGGCACAGTGGTTAAATGGTTAGCACTTCCGCCTGGCAGTACTCAGGTTGTTGGTTCAAATCCCAGCCCCGGCACCTCCTGCCTGGAGTTTGCATGTTCTCCCTGTACCTGTGCAGGTTTCCTCCGGGTACTCTGGTTTCATCCCACGTTCCAAAGACATGCTGGTAGGTTAATTGGCTCCTGTCTAAATTGTCCCTAGTATGTGTATGTATGAATGTGAGTTAGGGACCTTAGATTGTACACCCCTTGAGGGTTAGGGACTGATGTGGATGTACAATATATATGTAAAGTGCTGTGTAAATTGACAGCACTATAGAAGTACCTGAAATAAATAAATATATGAAAGTTCATCCAATGGCAGATCAAAGGTTGTGCAGCTCTAACTCAAGGCTGGGGAAGCCCAATAACAGCTGTAACAAAAACAAAGTGCACCAATCTTGCACATTACCTCAGTGAGTAAAGGGTAAATGTATTAAGTTAAGATGTATACTCACACAAGTAGCAATATAAAAAGCATATGAAATCCAACATCAGCAGACATTCAAAGAAAAACCCACAGGCAACCTCAAAAGAAACACTGGTCCCATCTAGAGGGGAGATACTCAGGGTGAAGCTGACATGTTTCGAAGGGTGATCCCTTCTTCCTCAGAGCTCTGAGGAAGAAGGGATCACCCTTTGAAGTTGTCAGAATCATCCTGAGAGTCTCCCCTCTAGATGGGACCAGTATTTCTTTTGAGGTTGCCTGTGGGTTTTTCTTTGAATTCCGGACAATTCTTCTGTCAGTTATGGCTGCAACCTTTCTTGGTCTACCTGACCTTGGCTTGGTATCAAGAGATCCCCAAACTTTCCACTTCTTAATAGATGATTTAACAGTACTGATTGGCATAGTCAAGGCTTTGGACATCTTTTTATGTCCTTTTCCATCTTTATAAAGTTCCGTTACCTTGTTACGCAGGACATTTGACAGTTCTTTTCTGATCCACATGGCTCAGTATCTAGCCTAGTCAGTGCTTCCAGGTAAGAGCTAACAAAATCATTGACTATTTATACACTGACACTAATTGCAATTTAAAAAGCCAAAGATGTGGGACATTAACCTCCAATTGGCATTGTAACCCGTGTGTGTCACCTTGTGTGTCTGTACCAAGGCCAAACATTCCAGGGGATGGAAACTTTTGATCCGGGCCATTTGGGTGATTTCTGTTATTATGATTTTAAAAAGGAGCCAAACAACTATTTGATAATAAATGGCTTCATATGATCATCATCCTTCAATAAAAGAGCATTTTTTGGCATGATCAGTCATATTTTTCAATATCAATTCCAAAATTTCACAATTTCTGCCAGGGTATGCAAACATTTGAGCACGACTGTGTATATATACATATATATATATATATATATATATACACACACACACACACATAACTGTACAAACGTTTTAGGGCTCATTTACACTTGACTAATTTCTAACTCTTGCCAAGCACCCCTATAGTGTCTGCAAGGTGTTAGACTGGCATGTGCTGCCATGTTTAGAGTTTTCATAGGCGTTTGAGGAGCCTTAAAAATGCTTCCCAACCATCTGTCTAACGTCTGCTAACAAAGCTAGTGATTCTCTTACAATTTGCTGTCCAATTTCTGCCCAATTTCCTTTAGATTTACCTTCAACTATGTAGTGCAAGGGCCTGCCTAATTGGATACATTTGAAAGTGTTGTTAGGTTTGACCTCCTATTATATGGTTTTTGGTAAATCTAAAGCAAAATTCTCAAGAAAATTGTATAATGTATGGCCAGCCTTAGGCAGGTGTGCAGAAATGCTGTAAAGTCAGGATGCTATCAAAAATATATTTTTTTAATTGTTTATCTTTAGCCATTTACAAAATGCAAAGTGATCGTTAAGGATAAAAATCAAAACCAAATCAGTATTTGGTATGACTACCCTTTAGCTTCAAACCAGCATCAATTCTTACACTTGCACAAAGTCAGGGATTTTATAGGGTTAGAGTCAGGTGTATAGTTATTCAATTATACCAATCAGGTGCTAATGGCCATCAATTTCATGTGTAGGTTGAAACACAGTCATTAACTTAAACAGAAACAGGTGTGTAGCAAGCTTAAAACTGGGTGAGGAACAGCCAAACTCTGCTACTGATGCAGGCTATACATGGGTCAAATTCTAAACAAATGTTCTTTAGAAAATCAGAATTTCGTGCAGTTTTGTAATTCGTTGGTGCCACCATTGATTTCAAAATTTGACAAAGCAAGCCTTCAATTTCATCTCATGTTGCTACATAAAAGAATTTTAATGGCTGGGAATTTTCTTTTCAGATCACAGATAATTTCTTTCTCAATTATATGTCTCGCATGACTCTCCCATCATTGACTAGAAATTTGTTAATTTTTCAAAAAATTTCCAACATGCCTGATTACTCAAATTCAAAGGCCGCATGAAAATTGGCAAATGCTGTGGCCCACTAATGGTGCAAAATCGGAAAGAAAATTCTTAGTTACGATTTTCGAAAAAAAATATTTTGGAATTCGACCCATTTATGGCCTGCATAAGGTGAGGTTGTGGAAGACAGTTTCATGTCACAGGTCATACCTCAAAGCAAGACTGAGCACAGCAACAAGACACAGTTGTTATACTGCATCATCTCCCAGGCCAAGATTTTAAAGCAGACTGGGATTTCAAGATTTGCTGTTCAAGCTCTGTTGTAAGGTTGAAGACCGTAAATGCAGTGGTTGGCCAAGAAAACCTAATGAAAAATGACACATCATGCTTACTTCCCTTCAACATCGGAAAATGCCCAGCAGTGCCATCAACACACAACTGGCAGAAACCAGTGGGACACAGGTACACCCATCTACTGTCCAGAGAAGTCTGTCCAAGAGTGGTCTTCTTGGAAGAATAGCAGCCAAAAAGCCATACTTTTGACAAGGAAACAAGGCTAAATGATTCAGCTATGCACAAAAAACATAGGAAGTGGGGTGCAGAAAAATGGCAGCAGGTGCTCTGGACTGATGAGTCAAAATTTGAAATATTTGGCTGTAGCAGGAGGCAGTTTGTTTGCAAAGGGCTGGAGAGCGGTACAATAATTAGTGTCTGCAGGCAATAGTGAAGTATGGTGGTAAAATTGGGGTTGCATTTCTGCAAATAGAGTTGGAGATTTGATCAAGATCAATGGCGTCCTCAGTGCTGAGAAATACAGGCAGATATTTATTCATCATGCCATACTATCAGGGAGGCGTGTGACTGGCCCCATGTTTATTCTGCAGCACGACAACAACCCCAAACATGCAGCCAATGTCATTAAGAACTATCTTCAGTGTAAAGAAAAACAAGGAGTCCTAGAAGTGATGGTTTGGCCCCCACAGAGCCCTGATCTCAACATTATGGAGTCTGTCTGGGATTACATGAAGAAAAACAGAAGGATTTGAGACAGCTTACATCCGCAGAAGTTCTGTGGTTAGTTCCCCAAGTGGTCTGGAACAAACTACCTGGCGAGTTCCTTCAAAAACTGTGCGTACTGTGTACCTAGAAGAATTGATGCTGTTTTGAAGGCAAAGGGTGGTAACGCCAAATATTGATTTGATTGGGATTTTTCTCCTGTTCAAACCTTTGCACAGATGTATATATTGTTTGGTGTTAAAGATATATTAGACCTCAGATCGTCAACCCCCTCTTCCTATTCCCCCTCTCTGTTTAAAGCCCTCCTACCTATTCTTCTCCTCCCTGTTAAGACCTCTCCTCCCTATTCTTCTTAACCTTTTCAGACCACTTATTAGCATAGCTCCCATACAACAGAGCCAAGAAGTTTTCTATTCCAGACTTTTATTTTAGCTCTATGCCAGGTGACAAGTATAAAATGGGGATAGAAGACCTTTCTACTTTCTTTCATTGGTGCAGCACTGATCAGAGGTCTGGCCTTTAGCAGGTACTTGAGGCTGGAATGTCAGTAGCCAGTGCTGGATTACTGGCAGGACCCCAGGATTTTAGTTCCAATCCTGAGAAAATCCCATGGAAACTAGGACTGTTGGGGGTATAGGTCCATTTAAAATGTCAAGGCCCCATTCTCTTGTAAAAATTTTTGGCTGATATTATGTGTAAAAAAATATTATTACACTGTTCTTAAACCAGTTTTGGGTTTCATCCTCATCTTTGCCTGTTCCAGCTCCACCCATATGCGGTACATCTCTACAATACATGCTCATTTTCCCTTCTTTTATTCCTTTAAAGATCCTGCAAGTGCTGAATATTATCTGTTGATTTGCCAAAAATGCACTCAGCTCCTAAGTCCTATATTGGACTGACAACATATAACATTTTTGCCAGTCCGGTCCGGTGGCCATCATTGTAAGTCCATTGATAATTTTATGCTCCACGTGGTTGCTATCCTTTTAATAAAACATACTACACTATATGATACTGTCTCCGGGCTCAGTTTATGAGCTTGCCCTCTAGGAGGAATCCCTTTCCTTGGTTCACCATGGGCTGGAGATGGAGACTTGGCTACTCTACTTTTGATTGTTCATTTGGTGTATCACTGGCTTCTGGAGAGATCCCACCTTCAACCGGGTCACCGGCAGGAGGAACAAGCAGGAACACCCCTTAGTGTCATTCCGCTCTGGGCTTGCTTGCTACTTACTTCTGGTGAGTGCATTATGGTGGAGGTGCAGTGCGCAAGTCACAGAAGTCGCTACATTTTGTTGATTTGATCACATCACTATTTTTGGGACTATTATGATATTTAGAGGACTTATATATATTTTCATTTTGTTATTTGTTAAACCGTCTATTTTGTTTCTTCATTGGAGTATTCACAATTCCCTATATCTTTTTTTATGATGTTTCCTTTCTCTTTTACTATCACACTGGTCATCATTGATTATAACACACATTTTTTTTGGGCTGCACATTGATATTATAGTGTTTTGTTTTGGTGGAGACAGAGGGTTTGCCACGTTTTGCTAGCTGCTTTACTTTTTCCTTTTCTGTCTTGCGCTCACCATTTATTCTTGGATATAACATTTTGTGGATGAGTGGTATCAGCCCTGCTCAGTTGTCTTTTGCAAAACTACTCAGCCACACCCACTCTCAAAACTCTACAACATAGAGCCTAATTATTCTGTAGTTTAGGTAATAACTAGCAGGGCTGTTCGAGAAAACACAAGAACTGTGCAGATGACACAGGACCAGGGGCGGACTGACAACTCATGGGGCCCCCAGGCAATAGGGGATCATGGGGCCCCTGTGTCCTTGCCCAAACTCAAAAAAGCCTATGAAAAAGGTACCAGGGGCATCTCATGGGGCCCCCTACTGACCCCGGGCCCTCGGGCAGTGCCCGAGTTTCCAAATGGTCAGTCCACCCCTGCACAGGACCAATCTGAATTTCTGATAAGATCAACTGTTTCTTGAACTTAGAACACTTCTAATGGTGTATTAAATAGACCAAAAGGGAGAAAAAGGGAGCAAATATGAAAAGTTAATTTTTAAGGTTTACATATACATAGGCCATACAACAGGCAGCCTGAAAACCCTTAGTAATGGCCATGGCAGGTGTAGGGACCAAGGAACTACAGTAGAGGTATATATATCTTACTAATATATGACCACTTACTTAAATTTTTCAGGATCTCCTGTGGGTAGGTGCAGTGGGGTGCAGTTGCAGATAACTCAAACTTGTATTAAAGGAAATGCTCAACTCTACAAACAACCTAATAGGAGAGCTCCACACCAGGAAACACTCACATAGCTTGGGAATACAGCGGGCTCAGATGCACCAACAGCATCTGTCTCAGAGGGAGGAATACAGCCTGACTGGTCCGGTCCCAATGGGGGGCTTCCAAAGAAGGATGGCATATACGTAGCCTGTCCCTACTCATCTGGAAACTCTCCCTGCAGCTAATCACTATCCCTGACAGACAGGTGCTCTTTCCCTACACTATCCACTTCGCAAATCTGTGCCAATACCTGGGGGCAGGGAATTAAGAAGGCTCTGCTGACCCAAGATAGTTGCCAGGGGTCATCTGAATACATAACCAACAGGAGGATCAGGAAACCATAGAGAAGCCAGGTTTCTTTTGACTCCCTCTCCAGCTGCAGTACCGCTCTGGTCAAGCATCACCTACACTGGAGCAAAAGCAGACTTCACCTGCCTACACTCCCAAAAATTGAAATATCGATTTGATCAGACTGATCCTAAACACAGATCACATGAGCCCCACAGCAATCTAAATTCCCACATCACACCAAGGAAGGAAACTTTTTGGTCAGTCATTAACATTTAATTACAGCATTTAGAATGCATAAACATGCTTTCACTTTTGAGTATAGGTCAGTTTTGAGTAGCTGCATTCATTATTAATGAGGACTGTGTCCTCAGCTAACCCAAGAGCCTCTGAGAATAAGGCTCATGGCATCTAGAAAACTGAATTATAACTTTCCAGAACACCTGAATTTTCATCCAGAGACCCTGAGGATGTCAGTACATTTGGGATCTAATATTTACTTTTTACCATAGGTGATTTATAGAAGGTCTCCTATAAATGTAGTTGTGTGGTCTAGAATCATACTCCACAAATCTGATCAGAATATCTCACTGCCTCTTGGACATGGAGTGAACTAAGTGTAGCACATCTCGGGAGGCAACCATAGGTAATGCAGGTGTACACCAGTAATCAAAAAGTGTACACATAAAAAAGCAGGGTTTCTGGACTGTGCACTTCAACTTGGCTGTTTTGCCTACAGTAGTCCAGCATGGAAGGAACATGATTTGTGTTGTGCTATTCAAAACAGCCACGAAGAAGCTTACATCCTACATTCGAGGAACGCAGAAAAGCAAAGATAACAAATTCTGTCCCCCCCAGGTAGAGGAGGGGATAAGGCTAATAATGCTGTGTCAGTGGTGTCACTGGAAGGAAAAATGTGTCGGCGCTGTCACTGGTCTAGAAACTCATTCCATAAACCTCCTGCAAGCCTCAGAATATCTCACCACCACTTGGACATGGAGTTAGCTAAAGCAGGTGTAGCACATCTCAGGAGACAACCACAGATAAGGCAGGTGTGCACCAGTGATCAGAAGGTGCCCATATCCTCTCTTCATTGGCCTGTGCCAGACTGTTACTTTGAAGGTTAATTTCATAAAACAGCAGGGCTCCTGAGATGAATACCAGAACCAGTTAGCCTAGAGAAGTGCAAAGAAACTGAACAGAAACATGATTTGTGCTGCACTCTGCAAAACAACAAAGAGGCAGCTTACATCCTACATTCAAGGGACCCAAAAGCAGCAAGTGGGGCTAAAACATTGAGGTGGGCAGAACTGGAAGCAGACTGGACATGGCTGACCAAAATCACCAGTCCATACAAGGGTTTAATTAGCCTTTGTTGAGTAAGAAGCTCTTCCAAGTAATGAGACTTTAAAAAGTCTTTACATACACATCAAACCCACTATGACCTAAAATTTCACTTGTATTAATAACTGTCTAAAACTCATAATGTAGAAAATGAAAGGCAACCATAACGATGACAGGTGTTTAATCATACAGGGCAATGTGGAATTAGTGCAAAAATACAAAATGATGGAACAGATATACAATTGCCTAGGGAGATAACAGCTAGACAGCAAGTATGTCATTAGCTGCCGTTGGTCAATTTTTCTGCCTGAGTGGAGATGTGTATAGGGTGGGGTCAGTATCCTGACCGCATACCACAACCCAAGGACATGGATTGATACTAAAAGTTACTAAAAGGCACAGTTGCCCATCAAAATCAAATATATCACAGCACCCTTCCAGCCTGGGAAAGAAATGCACTTTTATCAATCCACTAACTCCACCAGTCCTCAAAAATCTCCCTTTTCCTCCTACAACTAAACATACATTGTCCCAATAAATCTAAGTGCCCATCCATAAGAGATTTTTGTAGTTCTAATTATTTTTCTTTATTTTTTATTATTGGCACTTAGATTTGTTGGGGAAATGTGGGTTTAGTTGTTGGAGGAAAAGGGAGATTTTTGTGGACTGGTAGAGGTAGTGGATTGATAGGAGTGCATTTCTTTCCCAGGCTGGAAGGGTACTGTGATATATTTGATTTTGGGCAACTGAGTCTTTTAGTTACAACAGTAACCTTCAGTATCATTCCATGTCCTTGGGTTTTGGTATGTGGCCAGAATACTGACCTTACACTATACATATCTCCACTCAGGCAGAAAAATTGACCAACAGCAGCTAAAGACATACTTGCTGTCTGGTTGTTATCTCCCTATAGCGAAGGCAATTATATGTCTGTTCCACCATTTTGTATTTTTGCACTAATTCCACATTGCCCTATAAGGCATCCCTATGACTTCCTTACATTTTCTACATTATGAGTTTTAGACAGTTATGAATAAAAGTGAAATTTTAAGTCGAAGTGGGGGTTATTTACTAAAACTGGAGAGTGAAAAATCTGGTGCAGCTCTGCACAGAAACCAGTCAGCTTTCAGATTTTATTGCCAAAGCTTAACTGAACAAGCTGAAGTTAGAAGCTGACTGGTTACCATGCACAACTACACCAGATTCTGTGTGTGTTTAGTAAATATATCCCCGTGGGTTTAGTGAGTATAGCACACCCAGTGACGATTGCGGCGTCAGACCCGAGCCCTTTTCATCAAACTCGTGACCGAAGGACTAGCCGATCTAAAACCGCGCTGTCACGTGCGTAACAATGCCACGCCCAGCTGCACCCTGCGCAAAGATTTTCCAGCTAATGGACCACAATCTGTGTACTTGCAGCCTGGGAGCGATTGTTACTGGGTCAGGTTAATTTTGCAATTAACCCTTCACACTGTCACCACCTCCTTTTTGTACAGAGAAAGAGGAAACTCGGCAATATCAGCAATAACACTATGATGGTTGAATAATCGTCTGTATACCACTGTCACCGCAGGCAGGGTATACAGAGGTTTAAACACACACAGTATCGCTCTTCAGAGACAGGGGTTCTTAGTTTGCATTAAAGAGATTTAGAAACAGTTCAACACTTTCAGAAAGTAAGACTTATTACTAAAAGGTCAAAAGGGTGCAATAAAAAATATTTACAGAAAACAATTTAGCCTATATATATATATATATATATATATATATATATATATACAGAGAGCAATAACACAGCAAAGAGATAACAGAAAGAAGTTTAGAGGGATAAAGTACTTGCCGTCAGCCTTGGTTAAGCAGCTTTCAAGTGTCAGAGCAAAAGGGCTTTATCTCCCAAAGTTAGGTCGCTGTTAAAAGAGAGCTTCTTCAACTTCAACTCAACTCAGCTTAGCTTAACTAATATATAACAGCCTTTTTCTAGGAACTCAGCAGGGTGTCTCCTTACAGCAGAGAACCAATCGCCTCATTTGGGGAGGGGTGTTGGGGCGGAGACCCAAGCTAGAACCAAAAACCCTCACAGTTGATTTCCTGGTTCATAACTTTCTCTCGGTGCATTTAGCAGCTTTGCCATTAGTGGATTAATATGCAGACGCATCTGCTGAACGTCTAGATGAAATATGACATACCTGCTGGGACGGTTAAGGAGATATCATTTCTGCTCTCCTGTAGATGTCAGCTAGGGGGTGTAATATATCAGGCGGCTTGTATTAAAGTGGCCGATCTGAATTTATGCCTGGTTTTTATGTAAGTCTTCCATATTCCCAGATATGTAATCATAGGGGAAAATGGATGTTAAATGTGATGTCTGGTTTACAACTACCTGGAATGTCTTTGAGCTCAGTGAAGGACTTGGTTTATGGTTTTACGATCCTTTTCCAAGCAGAGTCTCGCAGACATATGGGGGCCAGGCTAATTGGGGTTTATAGCCATGAGCTCTCCCGCTGGGCCTTGATGCCTTTTTGAACTCAGCATCCAGAGACCACGTGTCACTCAACAGAGAGGGAGGGGGGATGAGGGAAGCTGATTTGGGAGTAGAGAATGATAGAAGATGGAGGCCTTTTCCAAAATGGAGGTTTGCATCCATCTCTGTGTGCACGATTGCTACACACCCCCCCTCTGTTGTCTACCTATTTAAATTTCCCACATAAAGACTAATCTTACAATGTAAGTATATATCAGGTAAATTGTGTTTGTTGTAAAAAAAAATATATGTGCACCAGAAAAAAAAATCAGCCATAGCCAGAGCATTTTCAATGGTAATGGAAGCTTCCATAATCCTCTGAACCTATTTTGTAGACTGGAGCATGGAAATTATAACTAAACACAAAATTTCAAATGTCAGTTGGAGTCAGTCCATAAAAATGAATGAGCATATAGATTTTTGAAGCAAAACTAGTGAGAAGGGACACATCCCCTCCTTCGTTCTTGGGGCCATCTCATTCA